ACAGTTGTGACTTTCAGTTCTGTATCAGTTGAATTTTTTACTCTTTTCCTCTGGGTACGTGGTGGTTCTATTTTTCTCCAAATAAAAACTTTTATTTTAAAAAAAAAGTGTTCTTTTAGAGTAAGACTCCGCAAACTGAGACATTCATTTGACTGTCTTAGTTATCTTGTGCTTCTTTTTTTTTTTTTTTTTTGTGCATGTACTGTCAAATTAGATCTGACTGGTACAGGAGGAAATTGTCCCTCCTTCTCCGGCAGAGCAGTTATCTTGTACTTCTATAACATATAAAGGTGGACTGCACTGCAATCCCGAAGGCATGAAATTTGAGTCCACCAGCTGCTTCATGGGAGAAGGATGGACAGTTTCCTCCCATGTGATTAACTGCCTCTGAAAAACCTGGCAGAGGGTCAGCTATGGGTCAGTTCTGACTCTTGTATACAACACAGCAATAGTGGGTGAGGACGGAGCTCTGGTGACTTAACAGTAAAGAAATTCCTCTGCCAGCACCAAGGTGTGCAGTTTGAATTCATCAGTTGCTCTGGGGGAGAAAGATCGGTAATCTCCCATGCAATTTACTCTCTCTGAAAACCTGCTAAAGAGGATCAACTGTGAATTGGTTCTGAATCAACAGTGCACAACAACAACATCGGTAGGTGAGGAGTTGTAGTGCTTAAGACAGATGGTTGAAATCTGTTAATTGATCCATGGGAGAAAGATAGGCCATTTCCTCCCAGGTAACTTACAGTCCCCTGAAGATCTGCTGGAGGAGCAGTTAAGAGTTGGTCCCAACTCTATGATAATGACTTTGACTTTTAACTCTTTAACATAAGTACCACAATTATCAATAAACAGAATTTTTTTTCTCATAATTTAGGAGGACAGAAATCCAAATTCAGAGCACCAGGTGAAGATCCTTCTCTCCTTTCAACATCTATGGCTCCATCTCCATTAATCTTTCCCTGGGCCTAGGAGATTCTTATCACAGGGGCCCTAGGTCCAAAGGATTTAATCTTTGCTTTTCTTCTTTGATAATAGTGAGGTTATTTTTCTCTACTGACTTCTTTCGACTTTTATCTCTTGTTAAGACAAAGGTGTGACTTAAGAGACGTATGCCTTGAGAAAGTACATGATTTGAATCATGCCCTCTTTGTAAGACTTAAGATATACCCTATCTTCATCCTGCTTCACTAACAAATAATTGTTTGGATTTATAACTTAACATAAAGTGAAGGATAATTAAATCAGATCATAAAATGAAAGACAATCCTATAATAATGTAAACTATAATTTTGCTAGTGAAGCTCTGGTGGCCTAGTGATAAGAGGATGTGCTGTAATTCCAAAGATACACACTTTAAATCCACCATCTGCTCCATAGGAAAAGGATGGATAATCTCATCTCATCTCATCTCATCTCATCTCATCTCATCTCATCTCATCTCATCTCATCTCATGTGATTTATTGCTTCTGAAAACTCACTGGCAGGGAGTTTTGGTGGCCTAGTGGCAAGAATCTGCACTGCAATCCTGAAGACACACAGTTTGAATCCACCAGATGCTCTGTTGAAGAAGGGGCAATCTTTTCCTGTGCCAGTTGGATCCGATTCGATGGTACATAACAACAACAACAACAACAACAACAACAACAACAACAAATGAAAAAATTTAGAACTATTAAAAAAAAATTTTAACCCCCCACAAAACTCACTGAAGGGTTAGCTGTGGATCAGTTCTAACTGTATGGCACACAACAACAATGGTTTTGCTAAGTTGACACGTGTGCATAAGGCAATTGAAAATAACATGGCATGGGTCATCAGAGCTTTCCACTAATGAACTAATTATTGAGTCATTATTTATTATGTCTCTCTTTCTCTCTTTTTTTTGAGGAGATAGATATTCTTTCCCCTCCCCTTTCCCTAACAATGTTGTCCATGAATGAAACAATCATTCCTGGAGCTCTAGTTGATGAGGAAGCTGAAAAACAATGCCTTAATTTCTTTTGCTAGGGAGGTCTAGTGATGTAGTTGAAGTAATCGATACTGAAAGCCATAGTCTTGGATTTTCATTAGTAAATACTTAATTCTTTGTTTTCAAGTAGCAAAGTTGTGTTATCTGTATATTTCAGGTTGCTAAAAATTCTTTACCCAATCCTTACACCTCATTCTTCTTCTTCTTCAAGACCAGCTTCTCTGATTATTTGGTTAACATACTGTTTAAATAAGTTTGGTGAATGAAAAAGCTGTGACACACACCTTTTCTGATTGTGAATCATTCAGTATCCCTTTTTTTGTACTTGAACTACTGCTTCTTGATCTATGTAGAGGTTCTACAGGAACTCAGAATTGTCAAAGGTTTCCTCTTATGTGGATTCACAATCAATACTCATGGAAGTAGCAGTTTGAAAAATGAATAACTTATTGCACTGCACCAATCTGTTGCAAAGAACCTCTTTAAAGTGCTAAAGAGCAAAGATACTTCTTTGTGTGCCTGACCCATGCCATGTTATTTTCAATTGCCTTATGCACACGTGGAAGCTGGACAATGAGCAAAGAAGACCGAAAAGGAATTGACACCTCTAATTGTGATATTCCTGAAGAATATGAAATCTACCATGGACTGCCAATATAACAAAATAAATGTCTTAGAAGTGCAGCTAGAATGTTCCTTAGAAGCAAGGATGGTGAGATTTGTCTTACATACTTTAGACATCATGTTATCAGGAGGAACCAGTCCCTGGAGAAGCACATCACATTTGGTAGAGAATCAGAGGAAGACAACAGGATGGACTGATACAGTAACTACAGCAATGTGCTTAAGCAGAGCAATAGTTGTTAAGATTGTTCAGGTCAGTGTTTCATTCTATTAATCATAGAACCTCTGTGAATTGGAACCAACTTCACACACCTAAAACAACATGAGAGTACTAATTTTCATGTCTTTACTAAGTTGTTTAGTATTTGTTTATTTGACTAATTGACAATGAGATCTCATTTGAATCTATTTTTTTTTTTTTGCTAGTGAAGTAAACTTTTCCCCTATGTTAAGTATTTGTATTTATTCTCTTATTTGTGGATATCTTTCTTCATTGTGGTTTACCTATGCACTTTGTCTGGGTCCTAGTATATTCCTAGTGCTATGCTTGATTTCCCTGCCTGGGTACTATCAAGATGATAAAGCACTGTTTCTGACCGGGCAACCTCAGCACATTTTTAAGAAAAATAGTTAAAAGACTATATTAAATAGTCCTCTTAGAGTATAGATTGAAGCTCTACATCAAGAAGACAAAGATTATCACCACTGGGCCAATTGGCAGCACCATGATAGATGGAGAAGAGATTGAGATTGTTAACAGTTACAGCTTGCTTGGCTCCAGAATCAACACTCTTGGCACCAGCAGTCAGGAAATGAAAAGATGAATTGCACTGGCAAAATCTGCTGTCAGGAATCTCTCCAGAATACTGAGAAGCAATGATGTCAGTCTAGAGCCTGAGGTGCGCCTAATCCGGGCCACTTGCGAGCTGGACACTGATTAAGTATGACAGAAGAATTGATGCCTTTGAGTTGTGGTGTTGGAGAAGAGTCTTGAACATACTATGGACCACCAAGAAAACAAATAGGTCTGCTTTGGAGATGGTGAAACCAAATTTCTCCTTGGAAGCTAGGTGTTTGTAGTACCTTTGGCATGTGCTGAGGAAGGACTGGTTCTTGGAGAAGGACATCATGCTCAGAAAGGTGGATGGACAGCACAGGAGAGGAAGACCCAGATGAGATGGACTGATACAGTAACTGGGACAATGGGGGTAGGTGTGTGAGAGTCAGGCTTCAGAGCTATTGTACATAGACGCTTATTGTCACTAAGAGTCATAGGTAACTTGACATCACATAACAACAACAGCAACAATGTCTTATAAACCCATTCAAGGCCTACATGAGTGAGCAGTGAGATACTGAAAATGAAACTCTCTGAAGCAGGTGGGTGATAGAGGCAGAGGAACACCCTTAATAATGTTGTCTCTTCCTTTTCTTATTCAGAATTTTGCCGGATTGACAAGCCCCTGTGTGACAGTGAGGATGAGAAGCTCAGCTTTGAGGCTGTCCGCAGCATCCACAAATTGATGGATGATGATGCCAATGGTGATGTGGATGTGGAAGAAAGTGATGAGGTGAGCTTTTTCACCCTGCCAGGTAGTCTTCTCTTCCTGTATGAAATGGTTCCTGAAAGCTGCCTAAGCATACTGTTTCCGTGGAAAGATATTCTCTGATGCTGCCTTATTCTTTAGGAACCCTTCTCAACAGGGAAGGTGGCTCTCAGCAGAGATCCTTGGAGAAGCTAGGCTATCAAGGTGCAGACCCTATGCCTGTATCTGTGCCTAGACTGACTCCCACCTACTAGCTGGTAGCATGACAGTGACTTTAGTTCTGTGTTTGAAGGGGACAGGGAAACTTGAGCTTTTTCTGGATCTTTATTTTAGTCATGCTGCACATTGAGGTGATCAATCAATATTTTGTATCATAGGATGCAGGAGAAAAGGCAAGGCAGTCACTTTCTGCCCTCTGGAAGCTTATATTGTATTTGGGAGGAAAGAAGCAGACAGATCATTTTGATTACAGGCTGTACTTGATAGGATCCAATTGAGTGGTCCAGGGAGTAAAAGCTAGAGATCTAGAAAGCTATTTTTGTGTTTCTATTTTTAACATTCCTATAACTCCAGCTCCACAGATCCCAGAGTATATGGTTATAGTGTATGAGAAGATTCAAGAGTTTAGATTGATTTTAAGTTCATGTGGGAAAGTTGTTTGGTACAGCTGCCAAGTTAACCCAGCTCTTCAGTAGTGACTGCTGATTTTGAGCTTTTACTGTGACTCTTTGCACAGATGTGGCCAGGTGAGGTCTATGTGTGTATTTGTCACTTATGGGTTTTTTTAAATAAAGTATTTGCAATGAAAATAGTTCATTATACAAAATTCTGTCATTTAGTCTCCAGCCTCATTTCTGTAACCTAGACCAAATTGCCCAACCACTACCATTCCTACTTCTTGGTCACTTATTATTATTAATACACCTTGATTGCATGTTTGATTAATTTAACACTGCAAAAGATGGTAGAAAACAAAAAAGATGGTAATTATCCTCCATTTTTTCCTCTTTGGCTGTAGAGGTTGGCGAGTTTGTTGTTGTTTACTGTAGAGTCAGAACTGACCCATAGCAGGTTTTCAGAGGCAGTTAATCGCATGAGAGGAGATTGCCCATCCTTCTCCCGTGGAGCAGCTGGTGGCCTCAAAACCTGTGCCTTCAGGATTGTAGCTCAGTGTCTTGCTACTAGTTGTTGAATCATAATTGTGTTCATAGGTCTTCCTTGTGTGCATATGGACATTGTCTTTTTACTTAACAAGATTATTCTACAATAGATTACAGGTATATCTTGCTTTTTTTTTTTTTACTATGAATGTGACACCATTTCTCTTCAGTTTGTTATTTTATGTGATTGTCTGTTTCAGAATGTCCTATACGGTCCAACTCAACTCACCAACGCCTAGGATTTCAATCATTATGTAATGTATTTCACTTTTGACAACTTTTAGTTTTTCAATTCATACTTTATATATTTCAAATCAGGAAAGGTATGTGTTAGGGTGTTCCTCTTTATTCTGATTTTTAAATTTAATTTCATATTTTAATGTTAGTTTATCCACCACCACCAAAACTAGCAAGAGAAGGGATCTTTGCTGACATCCATAGAGAGTGGCACAGCTAACCAAAAGGCTGAACTTCTCTGACAGTTTGAATCCACCAGCTGCTCCGAAGGAGAAAGGACAGTCTCCTCCCAAGTGATTTATAGCTTTATAAACTCAAAGCGAGGCTTCAGATATGAGTTGGAACTGACTTGATTGCAATGAGAGAGAAAATCAAGGAGACAACCATGATGAAAGTAATCTTAGTAATGAACTAGGCCTAGAAATGTCCTAATCTCTCTCCTTTGGTCTGGCAACATGACTAGATGATAGATGGTACAATGATTTTGAAGGTGATATGATCCAAGATCTACAAATTCCTGGATATCTTCGTCATATGCCCCTCCTTTTTTCACTTTCTGCTGAATTGCTTTGTTAATGAGAGGAGGAAGAAAATGTTCTTTTTTAGAGGAACGTTACCACAACAAAAAGCTCCTCAGCACAAACTGTTCCAAAATAACACAAAAGCTGTCACCCCACTCATCGCTGTGCCAGTGGTGAGCTGTTCTTTTTCAGTGTAGCTTCTGTTTTGTCTTGACTTCTTTTATTTTCCCTGTCATCTCAGACTTGTGCTGATTTGAGAGGCCTTCTAGTCCGGGTTTTCATGATCAGTTGTGAGCTATTGATTGTGACAAAGAAAGTAGAGGCAGCAAAATGTATATAGTTAGGTGCATCCAAATATATGAGTTTAAGATCTAACTGGAGTGTTTAATCAACATCTCAGGGCTAAGAATGTTGCGTAGCCGATAGAGAGGTACCAGTAACAAAACAGTGGTTGTGCTGACCATCAGGCAGCTCATTTAAGAACATTGATCACCCAAGGACCTTAGCAGAAGTTTGTTGTTGTTGTTGTTGTTGTTGTTATGTGCCATCGAGTCGTTTGCGACTCATAGCGACCCTATGCACAACAGCTCTAAACCCTGCTCTATCCTGCGCC